GTGGCTCAGTCAAACATCCAACTCTTCGTTTTGGCTCAGGTCATGATCTCACGGTTCATGAGTTTGAGCCCTGCATTGCCCCACATTGGGCTCTGTGCTGACAGTGTGGAGCCTGCTTGGGATTCTCTTTCTCCCTCTCTCCTTGCCTCTCTTTCTCTCCTCTGTCAGAATAAATAAATAAACTTTTTTAAAAAAATGGATAAATTGGACTCCATCAAGATTAAAAACCTCTGTACTTCAATGGACCCCATCCGCAAAGTGAAAAAGACAACCTACAGAATGGGAGAGAATATTTGCAGGTCTAATATTTGATATGGGACTTGCATCCAGCATATATAAAGAGCTCTCACAATTCAATAATAAAAAGACAAACAGTCCAATTTAGAAATGGACCAAAGATTTGAGTAGACGTTTCTCCAAATATGTACACATGGCCGATAAGCATATTGAAATATGCTGAACATTATTAAAATTAGGGAAATGCAAATTAAAACCACCATGAGATACCACTTAACAACCACTAGCATGGGTATAATAATACAAAGTATATATATATATATATATATATATATATATATATATATATATACTAAAGTAACAGGTGTTGAAGAAAGTGGACCTCTCACCTGTTGCCGGTAGAAATGGACAATAGTGCACCTGCTTCAGAAACCAGTCTGGCAGTTCCTTGAAAGGTTATATACAGAGTGAACATATGATCCAGCAATTCTCTTAGGTAGATAGCCGAGAGAAATGAAAACATACATCTACTGGGGCGCCTGGGTGGCTCAGTCGGTTAAGCGTCCAATTTCGGCTCAGGTCATGATCTCATAGTTTGTGGGTTTAAGCCCTGCATTGGGCTCTGTGCTGTCAGTGCAGAGCCTGCTTCAGATCCTCTGCCTCCCTCTCTCTCTGCCCCTCCCCTGTTCTCGCGCTCTCTCTCTCAAAAGTAAATAAACATTAGGGAAAAAAGGGGTACCTGGGTGACTCACTCGGTTAAGCATTCAGCTCTTGGTTTTGGCTCAGGTCATGGTCTCATGGTTTCATGAGTTTGAACACTACGTCGGGCTCTGTGCTGACAGCACAGAGCCAGCCTGGGATTCTCAGTCTCCCCCTCACTCTGCCCGTCTCCCACTCGTGCTGTCTCTGTCTCTCCCCAAATAAATTAAAAAAAAAAAAAAAAGAAAAAGCAAGAATGATCCAAATGCCCTTCCAGTCCTCAACTGATTAGTGGAGAAACATAATTTGGTACATACATATCAGGGAATATTATGCAGCCATGAAAAGAAATGAAATGCTGATCTGTGTTACAACATGAATGACCTTTGAAACATTCTAGTGGGTGAAAGAAGCCAGACACACAAGACCACACATCATATGATTCTGTTTATATGAGATACCTAGAAATCAACCGAGACTGGAGGTCGATGAGTGGTTGTCTAGGGTTAGGGCAGGGAGGAATGAGAAGTAACTATAAATGGAGACACGTTTCCTTTTGGGATGAGAAAAAGTTGTCTAATGTGGATTGTGGTGATGGTCATATAATTCTGTGAATATACTGAAAAAAAAACCACATTATATGTTTTTTTTTTAAATTTTTTTTTTAACGTTTATTTTTGAGACAGACAGAGACAGAGCATGAATGGGGGAGGGGCAGAGAGAGGGAGACACAGAATCGGAAGCAGGCTCCAGGCTCTGAGCCATCAGCCCAGAGCCTGACGCGGGGCTCGAACTTGCAGACCGCAAGATCGTGACCTGAGCCGAAGTCAGATGCTTAACCGACTGAGCCACCCAGGCGCCCCTTAAATTATATGTTTTAAACAGCTTATACGTGAGTGATATCTCAGTTAAGCTATGCTGCTCAGAATTAAGTTATCTTCTAATGTATGCCCCGAAAAGTAGACATTGGACCTCTAACACACGTTGTGGCATACACAGGTAGCAGCTGTACTAGCCTGCAGCATTCTAAGAAATGTTGGAGCAGGCAGCTCAGGCCTCTCATCTGCTCGAAAGAACATCAGGGTGGCTCGGTGGCTTAGGTGTCCAACTTCGGCTCCGGTCATGACCTCACGGTTCACCAGTTCAAGTCCCGCCTTGGGCTCTGTGCCGACAGCTCGGAGCCTGGAGCCTGCTTCAGATTCTCTGTCTCCCTCTCTCTGCCCCTCCCCCACTCGCATTCTGTCTCTCTCTCTCTCTCTCTCTCTCTCTCTCTCTCTCTCAAAAATAAATAAACATTAAAAAAAAAAAAAAAGAACATCAGTATTCTCCAAGAATGGGAAAGGACAAACTTTGTTTCCTTCTTTTTTTAAAAAATTTATTTATTTTTTTGAGGTGGGGGTGGGGAAGGGCGGAGAGAGAATGAGAGAGAATCCCAAGCAGGCTCTGCGCCATCAGCACGGAGCCTGACTCGGGGCTTGATCCCACGAATTGCGAGATCGTGACCTGAGCCCAAATCAAGACCTTACCCCACTGAGCCAGCCGGGTGCCCTGGGATAAACTTTCTGCGGGAGGAAGTGAGCTCCGTCCCTAGTCCCTTTCTTCTAATGTGGTTTATTTTCAGTCCTGTGATCTCCAGCTCACCTCTAAGAAGTATAAAGACTGAAAACAAAACCATCATGGTAGGAAAGTAACAAAATGCAGATGGCGGGGGTGGGGGAGAAAAGAAGACAATAAAAGGAGAGTGTTTGCACAAGCCAAGGGCTGGCCTCTACCTTTCATGCCCCGGACTGACCGGCAGGGACTGGCAGGCATTGTGTGTGTCTTCGTGTGAGAGGAAATTGAACCTGCCAGTTGTCCGTGCAGGTTGAGAAGAGAATCGTGGCGTATCATGATATCATTGCATAAGCGGGGCCTCCTAACACGACAGACCCGGTTCCGCCGCTGCTCCGTCTCGGCCAAAATCTTGGAAGCCTTGACCAAGTCTGACAAGCTACCCAGTGACCAGCACCTACCACAAGAACCGCCTGCTGTTCGTTCGTTCGTCTGGCAGCTGAGGCTGGCCGTACCACCAAGACAGTCGTGCTTTTATCTAGGAGTCCTCAAAGGTGGCATTTGGGAGAGACGTAGGTGACCTTCTCACCCCTTCTCAGCTTTTCACACGGGGAACCAGGGCTGGGGCGATCGAGTGTTTGAACACACAGCTCGACAAGGGCAGGGTTTTCTCTTAACAGCTCACGCGTGATAGATTTTGGTTGGATTTGACTCTGGGCCGGTGCTCCGCAAACTGCCTC